TTTTTTTTTTTTTGTGATAAAAGAAAGAACAAATCTCCCAACTGGATGAAATTCCGGAACAAGTATGTGACACTACAAAGGTATGTCCACAGAAGATAAACAATGCGACCAAAGGCAAAAAAATGGGAAAACAAGATACTGATGGTGTGGTTGGTGAGAAAGATAAAGATGGACGGAAAGAAAGGAAAAAGGGACGGGGAAAAGTAAAAACTGAAAAGAAGCCTCTGCGAAATAAAACTGGAAAAGATGTGATGGAGGGGGACGTGGTGACAAGAAACGATACACATTTGGTTGATGATGATAGTTTTGTAATCGAAAAAATTTGTAGATATGATGAGGCATCGCAAAATGTTGATGATGCCCAGCTCCAACGGATGAGGAAGAGCACACGACAAACTGTTCAACAAAATGGGGATCAAAGCAAACCAGGGAAGGCTTCGAGTATCATAGCTGATACTTCAGGTAAAAATACCAAGACAAATGGGAAGGAAAATCCCACAGAAACTGGTGAAAATCAGACGGAAGGGTTGGAAGATGATGTAGCTGAGGAATCGAAAAGAACTAAAGTTCAGGCGAGTAGAAAATACTCCAGAAAAAAGAAGGAAAATAAAGTTGAAAAGCCTCGCGCCAACAGTGTGCTAGAAGATACAGAACTAGAAGGCAAAAGTTCAAAATTCAAATCGAATAACGAAGTGAACGCTGATGATAAAGAGCAGCGTCTGGATGAATCTGACAAAGTACGGAATGCCGAGATGGATGGTGAAGATAAATCCAAGACAGATCCTGCCGCGAAAAAGTTGGAAAGAAAAGCAAATACCAAACAAAAAGACAGAAAAAAGTCGTTAGAGAGACTGGATAAATCGTTGGGGTCCACAAAACCTGTCTCGGTAAAAGTCAATGAAGAAGGTGTCAATGAAGAAGGGGTCAATGAAGAATTTGCCAATGAAGAAGATTATAACAGTGGTGAAGCGAGTGAAAACTTAATAGTCGATGTAACAGGTCGGACAAGTGATTTTGGATCTTGTGATGAGATTGAGGAAAATAAGCATTTGGGAACTGCTAAATTGCTAAATGACATGAGTACTACAAGAGATTTCTCTTACCATCTTAAAGCGATAGAACTTGACCTGTCTTGTGCAACGGACAAGGAATGCGACTTAACTTTTACAATCAAAGAGAATGGACACAATTGCAAAAAGACGGACGAAAAAGACAAAAGCTTAAGAGAATTATCAGGATACGAATTATCAGAGCATTCTTGTCTACAAGAAAAGGAAAGTGATTCAAGTTTAACAGTAGGGGAAAATGGACGGAAAGAAGGGAATTACTATATTTGTGAACAGGAAATGGAGCGCGATTCCACTTTTATGGTTGAGGAAAAACACCTTAATCAAACCAAATCGACTGAATTGGGCAATCTCAGTCTTATGGAGAGAGGAAGCTCTGTCAGCTCTACTGAAGATGTGGATCTAAAAACCGATGGTAAGTTAATAAAACGTAATAAAAAATGACTCCGAGATGATCGAGATGCAGTGTAACTACGACCAATCAAGAAGATTCATGTGGATATTTGTATAGGAAATCGCACGATCTCGAGTACAATTTGAAAATTAATAGAAACGGGTAATGTTTTGAAAGTTCTTGTAATTGCACGAGCCTTTAGGCGAGTGCAATTAAAGATCTTTTAAAACATTACGAGTGTGTATTAATTCCAAATTGTACGTGAACATCGTGCGATTTTTTGTTTATAGTTCACTCAACAAAATTTCAGTAAAAAATGCGGAGCGACGCCGTTCATCTTTGTCTATTTGGCGGGCGATTTCCAGTCCATCGTGCAACTGAAATGCATAAAAAAGATTAGTTCTTACGGCTTTAAAATTTGATTTACATGTTTTTTAAAGTACAAAATGATAGAAAATAATTGTTTTGACATTGTTTTGGCCGCGTTGCCATAGCGACTTAATTTGGTACTCCTACGGAGTACAATTAACGCTATAATTGTACTCCTCTCGACCAATCAGAGTCGAGTAATTTTGTTGAGTGTACTATAAGGATATTAATCGCGGCTAAGAGACAGTGATCTCTTGTCGCGGCATATACAGTGAACCCTATAAACTATAATAATAATAATAATAATAATAATGATGATGATGATGATGATGATGATGATGATAATAATAATGATTAGCCGTGCCCTGACTTAGATCAACCCAGAGGTTGTTTCAGGGTTCAATCTGTGAGTTAGACATGCTCTGACTTAGATCAGTCCAGAGGTTGTTTCAGGGTTCAATCTGTGAGTTAGCCATGCCCTGACTTAGATCAGTCCAGAGGTTGTTTCAGGGTTCAATCTGTGAGTTAGCCATGCCCTGACTTAGATCAGTCCAGAGGTTGTTTCAGGGTATCGATAAAGGTTTTTTTCTTTTTCTTTTATTTAGAAAGCCAAAGAATATCCAAACAGTCCCAGCCTGCCACCTCCTGCACCCGATGGTGCGTCGTTGAAGGAGTCGCAAAACACGACAACGAAATCTCCTGGAAGCGCATCAAGCTCAAAGGTGGAAGACCAGTCGTTCCTAACAGATTTGGGAAGTACATCCCGTTTGTTCTTGAGCCGAGTAATATTGACGTGCCCTGTGACTTTCGAGATAATTTCATCTGTGGTCTGTGTGTAAGAGATAATGAGAGGTTAAATGGAGAACGATTTGGTTCAACCGTCCCCTTGGCGACTAGGAAACAACGGCTGGCATCTCAAAGAAGTGACTCTCACAATGGTATTCATATATTAATATATTATGTTGATTCTTAAAGAAGTGATCAAAAAATGAGTTCTGACAAGAAAGCATAAAAAAGAGAAAATCACTTCTTTTTAGTAAAAATACGCAGGTGATTATCGAAAATCTCGCGCTCTGATTGGTCGAGAAACTCACACTATCACACGATAATCACCTCGAGCGAAAATCCAAAATGTCGGCCAGCCGCTTTGTTGCTGTTACTAGAAAAAAATGTCTTTTATCTTTTTTTTTTTTTTTTTTTTTGGAAGAATCACCTGTGTATTTATACTAAAACAATTATTTGCCTCAGCCTCTGTAAATATCCAAGAATATTTACCTCAGTAAACATTCCCCGATATTCACTTCGCCTTCTGCGAATAATTGTTAAATAATGCGCGCGCCATGTATATAGCCAATGTGCACAAGCACGAATCTCTACCACAAAGCATGATGGGAAACCGAGTACAAATGGGCTATTTCCGGGTGGGCTATTTTTAGTAACCTACTCCCGTGCGTCATCAACTTACGCGCGGCGCTCTTTCCGTTTATTGTTTTGATCGCTAAGGCGAAATTTAAACTGCATTAAACTGGGTTTTTTTCCGCGTGCTGAAAAATCCGAAGGGGGAACACTAGACGGATTGATGGAAAATATCCAAATGGTGTATCCTAGTGTTTCTTTCTGACATCAAACATCGCGGGTAGCGCTTCAACGATAAAGGTAGTAAAATAACTGTTAATTCCTTTATAGCTTCAGATGATGAAGACAACGAGACCCTGTTGAGTACTTTCACTAGAGGAGACGGAATCCGTGCATCTGTCAAACGCAAGCGTGTAGAAGATCATTCCCGTCGAACAGAAAGCCAAGACGGTTTAGAACTAGAATGCCAGGCGCTGCTCACGAAAAGACAAAGAAACTCTCTTTCCACGTCTAATCCAAGGATCCCGGCCAGTCCAGTTGTGAGGAAAGCGAGAGGCGAAAAATTAAAACTACCAAGGTAAAAACATTTTTTATCGAAACCCTGAAACAAACCCCGGGCTGATTTAAGTCAGGGCATGGCTAGCTCACAGATGAAACCCTGAAACAACCTCTGGGCTTATCTAAGTCAGGGCATGGCTAACTCACAGATTAAACCCTGAAACAACCTCTGGGCTTATCTAAGTCAGAGCATGGCTAACTCAAACATTGAACCCTGAAGCAACCCCCGGGCTGATCTGAGTCAGGACATTGCTAACTCACAGATTAAACCCTGAAACAACCTCTGGGCTGATCTAGGTCAGGGCATGGCTAACTCACAGATGGAATCCTTGAACAACCTCTGGGCTTATCTTAGTCAGGGCATGGC